CAATCATTAAAGATGTTGAAGCACATGTCTGTGAAATACTTCGAGCTGCTTGTCCAACCATTTCAGAACTGACAAAAAAAGATAACGGAGCCAGACCGATTGCAGAAAACAGTTTAGTCAACGCAATCACTCCACATAGAATATAACCAATCCAAGTGTACTTTAAAAAAAAATTGTATAGTAGACGTTCTTTTTTTTATTCTTATCGCTCTATATGCCTTGGTAGGAATCAATTAATTGACTGAGAAGAAAAAACTTAAAGCGCTTAGTTCTGCTTTAAATAGAAAATACGAGTTTTAAGCGATGCAATTTTATATATTGAGATACAGCTGTTAGCATTTCGTCACTTAAAATCAAATAAAAACCAAAGATTTTTCCTCATAAAATTCAGTTTATAAAAACAAAAATTTCCAGATGGTATCTAAGGTATAAGTTCAATCCTGAAATGACTTCTGGAGCATATATATTTTGCTGAGAACTAAAAGAGCTCTTATTTAACGGTAAAGATTAGTAGGAAATTGATTAATTTACGTTTGGTGCCTAACCGTCCCCAAAAGTAACCCGGCTTCTATCAATAGAGAAACTCATTACACGTCTTTCCTGTGAATATTTTTCATCGGATTTCTTTTTCTTTCTTATGCGCTAAATGAGTACCCCAACCGCACACTGTGGCAATACGATCAACTAACATGGTGTTATGTAGCATACTATTATCTACAAGTTTGGTCAATTGGTTCGCAGAACCCACTTAGAACGCACGTAAAACTGCAACAGAAGCTACGGAATGTGCGACATTTGATACAACTTTCCCTGTCTTATGACTCCCAGTGATGAGGCGATCGCCACAGCTTCACCTATTATTTTTTTTTTGGTTCAATAAACATTGAAAGTCTGATAGTAAACCACAATTAAAATAACACTAAAGACTAATTTTCTGTAAAAATATGGTAGAAATAAAATATAGATTTAGTTTTCTTTTGTATTTTAAATGCTCAGAACAATCAAATGTTTCCCTTTCAGTCTGTGTTTAATTCTATGCAAGTTTTTGGGGTGAGCGAAGGTACCTCGGTAGGTAAAAGATTAAGGAGGAAATAGATAATATTTGTTCAAAATTAGTAAGGCTTATTTACCAGACACTGTTAATTCAAACTGTATAGTGATTAAACTGACTTGGTACCGCTTGTGACATTCCATTAAAATACTGAGTATCGCATTACAAACTACAAGACCAAACAGTGATATGAGAATAAGTGGTCGCCGACCATAACGATCAACGAGAAATGAAGATATAGTCGCAAATACCTGAAAATTTATAGTCGTACTGTTATAATAATTCGACTTAATAGGAAGATGAACCAAGAACTGTGAATAGAAAAGATAGAAATAACTTTAGATATTAAAATTTTTGGAAGAAGTTACTGCAACTAGACTTAACCACTAGAATGGCCATAAGACCAATATTAACAAGCGATGCTTCCATTGGCGACAATCCAGTATCGGTCATCAGCGAAACAGCAAATGCATTTACGGCTAAAAACTTTTTCCTGTATATTCAGTTGCTATACAAGTAAATGTTCAGAGGAAGTATAAAGACGACTACTTCTCATTTTTTGATATTTCCAAAACTAATTCACAAAACTTTTATGAAAACAACAGCAAAAGCAACAAAAAAAAATGACTTAGCTAAAAAACTCCTCTTTCCAAAAAATAAATCTTTATGGAATTAAGTGCCGTTTCAGTGAATAGATTGTTTTCAAAAACACGCAGTAAAATAAGCCAAAAAGAAACAAACAGGCTTTAAACGTTTTTTATGTTTCTCTCCTAGTAGAGGTAATTTGCTAGAAAAATTAAAAGTAATGCACCGTAATCTTCTTATTTATGTGTTCACTGGCTGAAAAAATAGCGAAATTTCTTCAAAAATTTATATTTGGTTTTGTAGTCATCAAAACTATTAAAACGTGATTTAAAAAGTGGAGAATAGAAATTGTAATCATAGAAAGATTGATGGGAAAAAGTATTTAATGATATTGGTAAATGAAACACTCATTCAAAACCTAGCGCAGAAATCAGTGATTTACAAAAAAAAATTAGCTTTTCTAGCCTTGTGTAACTTTACAAAAATTTAAAATTGAAAACCTGAAGCTCCGCAAAAGGACATTGAACAAGACACAATTATTCCGCTCAAAACGCCTCTTCGACAGTACTTATCCTTGAAAACAGATACAAATGACATTTTTTTAGACAGCAGTTTGGAATTTTCGTTGATCTCATCTAAAACTTTAGCCGCCTCTGTAGAATCACATCGGTGGTAAAACTGTATTGAGCTAAGCGCTCTTGTATCGCCATTTATTGCCAAAAAACTAAAAAATGATTATACGGTTTCAATAGGTCGGCTAGCCCTAAAGCTAAAAAACTCTGGTTGGGTTTCTACAATGAAACGACTGTATCAAATAAGCGTTTAGTCCCTATTCACTGTCTGAAACAACATAAATTTTAAAGAAAACTCTCTTTTATAAACCATACCCTGGACTTTCAGGAAGAAACAGTAGTAAACCCAAGACAGGAATGAAGGTCAGCATTTCGATGAGATATATATACCACCAATGATTAACTGTACCAAGCAGAGCAGGCATCGCTATTACCGCAGCACATACTGTGCCCAAGGTAGCAGTTTGACACAGCATTGTACTTATAAATCCACGACACTGTTTTGGACTAAATGCAGTTTCTGAACTTGTAATTATTCCTTCTAATTAGCAATTAAGGAGGAGCCAAACTAGTGCGCTTTTTATACTTACCTGCTTTCGTTGAGAAGCATCGCTGCTAATCCCATACTAATGCTCACAGCATAACCAATGACGAATCTTGATGCTATATACACTTCAAAAGCAGATATCTAAAATACAAGTGCTACTTCTCAGCAGATTTATAATAAAATAGAAATTAGGCATTGTTATCTTCAAACTATTACAGTTTCCGTTCCGTTTCATCCCCTGCTATTAACCTTATATCTGAATGCAAATAAAATTTGAAAAAACCGTAGACGATATATATATATATATATATATATATATATATATATATAGGCAAGATTTTACGAACATGATAAGCCAGCAAAGCAAGAAGAGTTCCGACAATCTCTAGCGAAACTGAAATGTACATCCCATTTTTACGTCCAAATCTAGTAGCAACGTAGCTGATAGATAACGAACCAAATATGGCACCAACAGACAAGACTGCTACTGTTACAGACCAGAGAGTCTGAAGTGAAACAACGAAGTGAACAGAAATTAATATAAATTTTCATTCTTAACAAATTTCTACTTTTGGTTTTGTATCCTAAATGTCAGAAAAATTGCTTCGTCTAAAATTCATGAACAAAATAATATAAAATAATTGACGCCTTTACGACATATATGTATTTACTTGCACAGACGAACGTGGTAACTCCCAGCCATAGTGTAGATATATAGACGAGTTTAAGAAATCTGTAAAAGCTTGTTGTGCTGGACTAGTAACTACGGCCTGAAAGCCATGTTGAAATGGGCCACCAATACAGACTATCAACGATATTAGTAGCAGTTTTGCGGACGGCAAATATCCCATCGTCAGTTCCTAATACTTCTGATACACAACAGTTACAAAAATGCGTTAGGGGTTCGAAAAGTTGCTGAAATAAAGTGGTACAAAAATTTTTTAAAAACAGTTTTCTTTTTCTTCAAAACTTTCAATTCTTTGACTATCCGTCGGCGAAACTGAAGCACTAAATGGTAAATACGAAAAAATAAAATGAGAAGAAAAAAAAGGAAATACTGAAACTATTGGCCAGCATAGTTTACCATGTCTAATAATTTTGTTATTTTAAAAAAAGTGGAAGAATGTTGGTTTTTTATTATTGATTTTCACTGATTTTGCAACAGTTTACATTGGATCATTGGGCAACACCAGTAATACTGTTTTGTTAACAGGACTTAGCATATGATTATTGGCAGATGTACACTTTGGACCGTTTGCAAACAAAGAGCGTAGGTACTGCGTTTAAAAAAAAAATACAGAACTAAAATGCCACGGTAGTCGACCGATTTCATTAACGTATATGCAGAAATTTCTTTAAAATCATAAGAAAAGAAGCTGAAAACAGAACACATTTGAAAATCTTTTGAAAAGTTTTGTCCACAGCTTCGTTTGTGATTAGCAGTCTTGTCGGATAATCTTTGTTGGTCATAAATATTCATTTATAAAGACCGTGTTAAACTTTTATTAATATTGCTAAACCAGAAAATTTAAAATCCTAAAATTTTTTATTGAATATTCTTTTTATCTGAATATTTCTGATATATTTTACAAAATCTTTTTTTGTAGAAGTTTTTGTGTAAAAAAGTGTCCTTTTATGAATTTTTAGCATTTTCTTTTATAAATCCACTAAGTGACTACCACAGTAGTTAGATAATGCTACCTTTAGAGTGAGAAAACTTCGAAACCTGTGAAATGTTACCAAATAATTCGAACAGTTGTTGGTTTTTTAAGCATTGTGCTGTGTAACTCACATCAAAACAATTTTTATTTCTTATTTCCTCTTAAAAGTAATCTTCTCAACACTCTGCTTTTTATCAGAATTTTCCTTGAACGTCAGTGATTCAAATGCTTTTACCCTTGAGACGGTGCAAACACTTAATCTCAGTGAAGGTTTTGTTCCCTAATAAACAAAACAAATTCTTGTGTGCTTAATTGTAATTTCCTCTTCCTGTTGCTTTGACTGTAGGTTCCATCTAACAGTTGCACACTAGGCGTATATAAAACAGGACATGTGTGAATCTTCACTGCAAACATTCTAAGGAGCACTATGAAAGTAAAAGACGTGATGAGAAAGTGTAAAAAGAATGAGAAAGCATTTTTGAGGTGCTACTGATAATCATCAGAATGTACAGTAGATGACAAATTACTATAGGAATGCAAAGCAGCGCTCAAAATAATACCATTGATGACGCATTTCTGTAATTGTAACTTTTCAAACGCGTGTGACTTTTTTTATCTTAATAGAAATAGTATAAAAAATATGAAAGTTCTGCAATGATAACGTTTTTGCACATATTAACAAACTCTTGCAGAAGATTTATCTCCTTTATTTTCATTCCACTCTGAGCCACAAGTTCAAACAATTTGGCTCAATTTTCCTCTTCAAATTAAGGTCTTTTCCATATGCTTGCTAATAACGCAGAAAGCTCTTAAGCCTACGCAACGTCATATCTTAAAAAATGAGCAACAAATTTAGCGAACAGTAGACGCCTAATAAGCTAATGAAGCCACTTTTTCTTCTTAAATACTTTGAATCTGGCTAGCTCTAAGTTCCCAAAAAAAAAGCATTCATAACTGGAAATAGCTCTCAAAAACATAATTTCGGCCTCTGAATGACCAATCAGCAGAAGCTTAATGTAATTAACTGTTTTCCCAAATAATTCTTTACACATTAATATAGCAAAACCGGCATTATAATAGCAAAATTAGTGAGTATTGTACTGCACGTAATAAATAACAAATCATCAGCTTCTGTTTGGCCAAAACAATAAAAGATTGTAATTTGTTCTAACAAAGTATCAAAACGATTATCCTAAATTAATTGCTCCAAATATTATTGTATTGGTTTTTAAAGGTCAGTGCAGTTATCAGTGCAGTTACGGTAATGAGTTAGCGAAGTAAAAATGATGTTCCTCAACACCTGTGTAAAAAGCATTGCGAGTATAATCACAATTTCTTGACTGGCGTTATCTCCAGACTGTGTTCGTTAACTTCTAAAACTAGAATCGTCTAAAATACATGAAGCCTTAGCTCCCTAGAATCTCTCCTCATAAGTGAATGTATCACGTCGTGAAACTGGAACAGTATACACTTTGCTAGAATAACTTTTTTTAGTCCTACAACAGCTCGTAATTGACGGTAATTCTTTCATTGCTTCAATGACCTGCAACACTCAGTGCGCAATTAGAAAAAGGGAAAGAACAATATTTCAGGTGCCACGCGAAACTAGTAGACGTTTTTGCAAAGGTTTAATTTTTTCTTTTACTTAACAAGAAATTATACGTAGATAAAAACTTACTTCTTTATAATTCCTGTTTTTCGTTTCTGGCATATTAAAATACAAGTATATTAAAGAGATGATCATCGGAGCAACGAACAAAATTAAAAATCCATATGACTGGCCAATAACTTCTTTCAGTGCCAAAAATAAAGCGATGCATATAGTCCTCCTGTAAAAAAGAACTTGCATTATACGGTAAATGTATATAGGAGAATCTTTTTTTAGCTATCTTAAAAGACCTCTACAAAATAGTACCAAAACCCGAATTCAGTAGGAGTAAATTACACTGTCATTTGAACGGCCATTGCGCAGCCCTGAGAAAAGCTTCGCACTGCTTGCCCAACCATTTCTGCAGCAACGAAGAAGCACTGAGATCCCACACCGATTATAAAGAAAAACTTTGTCGCCGCGATTAGACCTATCAAAGTATATCCAAACCAGGCGTACTAAAAACAGCGGTTACTACAACAACTAGTGTGTGTGATTAAAGAACGCAGGTAAGTTCATTATCAGTAGCAAAGTGACGCTAAGAAGGCTATTAGGTTTTACTCCAGCTAACCCCATATGTTTCGTGGCAATACATTATAACAAAAACTAATATGTTGAAAATTGTCAATCCTGAACACGATGCTAGAATTAGAGGCCTTCTTCCAAAACGATCAACCACAAAAGACGTCAAAACCGCAAAAACCTGTAAGATGAAGATGATTCTGTCATGGATTAAGCCTGAAAAGCGTGCAATTTTGTGCAATCTGTAAGTCGTTTAGAAAAAAACTAACTAGCATAACGGCGGTGAGTCCGACGTTCGCATATGCCGCCTCTTGAACGGTTAAGCCGCAGCTGATCAAAATGGCTACAGCAAATGCGCTAACAGCTAAAGACAACGTTTCTCACATAAAAGTAAATTTATTTCACCATGTGTAGTTCATCAAGTCTGCTTCAATCGTTAAACAAGGAAAGAAGAAAATGAGCAAAAATAATTAGCAATTATTTGTTATTTAGAATGTGAAGAACAAAAAGTAAAAAGTGATCAAAAATAAGACAGAAAAGCGATTACTAGAGTTTCCACTGAAAGACATTGCTCCTGATATGAAACAGCCAACCATAACACCCGCACGAGACTGTTTATCTCTTAAAATTTCCATAAATGGCATTGATTTTGCTTGTAATTTCAAATTTTCCTTAATTTCGCTCAGCACTTTTTCCACTTTGACACTATCACAGCCGTGGTAAAATCTTATTGATCCTCTTGCTTCATCCTCGTTTCCATGCAAAGCCAAATAACTGAAAAAACGACAGTTGAATATTAGAGGAAAACTAATGCGAAAAATAAAATAGCAAATTTACCCTGGACTCTCCGGTAGGCATAATAGAATAAGCACTACGGGGATGAGGATTACTATGTCCGCTATATAAAGAACATTCCACAATTCCACGGTACCAAGAAGTGAAGGCATAGCTACAATCGAGCCAACCACAGCTCCAATGATAGCGGTTTGACATGTCATCATACTAATAAATCCACGACATTCTTTAGGGCTAAATTTAAACCAGAAATATAGCACCAAAATATATAACTGGACTGTTATAAACTTTTAAAAAAGTTGTAGAATGCTAGTGAAAATTGCCTGCTTTCATTTAAAAGTAGAGCGCCGAGGCCCATGCTTAAAGTAACAGAGAAGCCAACAAAAAGTCTTGAGACAATAAAGCACTCGTATGTGTTCGCCTAAAATGCAAGCATTTATGACGTCTTACCGGTTGATATAACTGTAAATAAGCTTTACAATTTGAATTTAGACGTTAAGAAAAACAGTCAAAAACTATCAAAATAGACCCGCACATAGTAAGAAATTATGGCAAGTGCACTTCCTAGAGCATTTAAACCAATTGAGGCGTATAAACCTCGCTTTCGACCAATTTTGGCACTGATGACGTTGATCGAAAATGAACCACAGATGCCACCAACACTCATCAACGCGATTATGACCGACCACAGCGACTTAAGACCTTCTTTTAATAACCAGTTGCGAAGCATATCTGCCATCAAACCAGAAGAAAATCTTATCGAATTTAAAAGAAGTAACCTGAAGAGAAAGATGAGACATTTCCCATCCATAGTGATCATAGTGAGACTCGTTCACAAACTCTATCATTGGTTTCTGGGCTGGATTCGTTATTATTGATTGAAATCCAAAGTGAAACGCTCCTCCAAAACAGACAAGAAGAGAAACTGCTATTAACTTCAGTTGTGGTATCTTGCCCATTACTTCTAAAAGCAGAATTGTTAACGAAACTGGTTTATGAGTGAAAGACGCCAGAAGCTTTGGGCAAAATTTTAATACACAGCACTGGCTGGACGTAATATAGGATAAGAATCAGAGAAAGGAAAAACTCTTTCGTTGAGAAGGTTAAAAGAAGATCAACCATGCAAGATCAAGAGAGGTTTGGTTGAAACTCTAAAATTTGCTTTGAAAATTGAAAGAGGATTGAATGAATCATGATCGCATGAGTCGTTTATCAAAAAAAAAAT